ATTTTATAAACTCGTCGTTTTCGGCGATCCTAATGAAATTTCGTGATATAACCTTTTCTTTGTTGGCTCAAGTCGGTAAGGTTATGAAAATAACGTCATAGTACTTATTTCATAACACAAGTGAGTGCTTTAATTTTCGACTTGGGAGTTAATATTATTTATAGTGGTTCTTAAATTCATAACACAATTAAAAACCTGTAGAATCGCATCAGATTATTACAAAATTAAAATTCCACTTATATGTTAAAGCTCTACTCTTCTGGATATTTCTAGCTCTACCTAATCGTTCCGTTCCGCGCCGCGAGGCGCACCAAGTGGTCCGAAACGTTCATCCCACTCTTGCCTAATTAGCTTCCGTAAGCTGTAAATCTAGCCTATACTGCCGCCGTCAACGCGACCGCTTTGATCACGCACCTCATGAAACGGAACGGCATTCGAACGAATGACTGAGCGAGCGGTTTCTGAACGCGGCGTTTAATGTCAAATGTGGCGGCAACCGGTAATATCAGCTAGTTCCGCTGTGCATTTGTTAAAGAGTCACTTAATTTTATTCTAATTTAGAGATTGATAGTAACAGTTAAAGGAAATTTACGATTTTCATTTTAATTAACTATATTTTTTCTGTTTAAGATTTTTTATTTCATTTAAAATAGAGATTTTGCAGCATATCCGTCCCGTCGTAATCTATAATCTAATTCATCACTAGACAGGTATTATGTGACAAATTCTGTTACCCACGATTTTATAAGAGATTATTATTTACAGTATTCTGTAAAGTTATTACTTTCCGACATGGCGAGCACACGAGATAAGGATTTTACATTACCTACATACTAAAATAATAGTGCCAATTTCCAGCATTCTAATTTAAACGGTCTCATATCACCATATCAACCGTGAATTAAACTAAATGCTCACAATTATTCTAATTCGATTATTCCTATTAGACCAGCTAAAGATAAGTACTTCTTTTTTTTACCGATTTCCGTAAAATTCTAATTAACAAGAACTCTTCTAAACTTCTGAACTAATATATATATTATTTGTCTCGATTAATCTAAACAATGTTTGATTAATCGTAATATAAAAGCGAAAGATCACTCACTCACTCACTCATCAGAAAATCTCAGAAACTACCTGTACTAGGAGTTTCAAATTTTGCATGCGGGTTCTTTTTAGGACGTAGGTACTCACTAAGACGGGATTTGAAAGTTTTAATGAAATTTTCTTATTCCTGGCATCAAAACTAGATCACGTGGGTGAAGCCGCTGGCGGAAGGATAGTTAGTTATATATATCTTTGATAAAATTCTCAAGCTTTGGTGTACCAATATAGTAAGCGCATAGAGTGCATAATGAAATAGGTATAGTCAAATTTTCTTGTTGATTGAGATTGCTTCCAAAACGGCGGACATAGCGGTTATTTGTTCTATTAAAACACTTGATAGACAGAAAATAATATTTAAAAAATAAACTTAAATAAAAAAGTATATAAAACTATAAATATCGCACTTATTACAAAATGTATTGTGTTAGTTTCCGACACCAACTGTTCCCAGTTAGTTTGCAATTTCCATGACCTGAATTTCCATATCGTATTTAATATTTAGAATACGACTAAAAGGAAAACCATTTCTCAATTACGCAGCATCTTAAATACGAACGTTTTTTTTGAAGAATCAAAACAAAAGAAATGAACGCCATTAGAGAAATAAAACATGCTATCTCTATCGATCGTTTAATAAAGGCGCCTAATTACATATTACCGGTCGGTACGCGGTAGGCGTTGTGGGCCTAATCGTTCTATCATATCAATCGGCCGCCCAGAAACAATCAATTAGAGCCGATCCCCTTTCAATTGCCCCCTGTATCTGGACGTAATTGCCTCGCTGCTCCTCCCCGGGCAGCACCTACTAAGTAACGTAAAAGCGATTGATGTCTTTCTGATGTAGGTTAATGTAATGATATTATTTTATTAACTTGCATTATAATATAGGTACTACAGAATCTCATAGAAAAACCGAAGATGAGGCAAAATCAGTGATCATATCATAAATTGTGGTTTGTAATCTTTCTTATGTCCAGTTTCGTAGTTTCAGCAACGTTTTTTAATGTAAAGGCACTATCAAATTTCTGCCCTGGTTAGAAGAAGGTCTTGGCCCCGGCCTAATGCCGCCCCGGGCCTCCGATGAGGTTATATACGGGTAGTGGGCAAAATAAATAGTTATTATGTTATTTTTCATCACATCATTTATAACTACAATATAGATATGAAAATAATTACAATATCCATTTATTGGTATAAATAATAATAATAATAGTATATATTTATTTATATTCGCTCGGTGCGAAGTATAGATGTGGGTAACTAGATTTATCGCAGCGCTCAAAGTGGCTTAAAGTAAAAACTTTGCCAGCTCTGTCATCTGTCATAACATAATATGTACTTGTATTTCTTTCCACCGAACAAATGTGAAAACTGTTCAATAATAACGATTCAAATTAAAAAAAACTAAAATTAATGAATTTATTAATTTTAACTTAAACCTAAACCATAATAAGTAAAGGAATCGATAAAACAATAAATAAACTGTGCTGAAATATCTTAGAAAATTTTCTTAATAATATTTTTATTATCAAATCAACATCACATTACATATAATGATTATATTCATCTATTTTACATTCACAATCCTATACTGAAATATATTCTTAGTGAAAAGTGCTTAAAAAGCTGGCACTCTGTGATGGGTTTATTACTAGTGGACTTTACTACTAAGTGGATTTTATAAGCATTGACATTGGTACATTTTAAAGTAAAATAACATTCTGATAAATACTTTTGTTATTATTATCATTATACATATTTTCTAAATACATTGACTTAAAATAATGTTTATGTTTGCTTCTATCTTATCTTATCTTAATAAAATATACAAATTGCAATTGAGAATTTTAAAAACGATAGTTTAACCGAAAATCAACGCTAAATATGATTGTAATGATAATGGCCTTTTTAAATACTGTGGAGTTTTGCCAATTTTTTCTCAGATAAAGTACGCTCTTCACAAGGAATACTTTTTTGTACTTTAGTGGCGCTGTATTCAGCTACAGTCGAATTAATATTTAAATAAAAACTGAGTCGTGATTATGAGTTCCAATGGATACTTATTAGATACTTTAAAAGCACAAGCATTGCAAGACATCAAAGTTTTTATTTATATTGTGAGTGATACACACAAACTCGGTCCTTAGAATAATAATCATTTCGATCTAAAGACCATATTTTATTTATTACTAACGATACAGGAATAATTGTACATGTTTACTTTTATTTAATTAAATCTTCTCGTTTTACAGTAAAAATTACAACTAAAAATAAGTTTAATGACGTAACCAAATTAAAACACATTTTTTAATTAAAATTTAGTTACCTAATTTAATTTGAATTATCAAAAATAATTTATCAATCCTCTGTCCACCCAAATCGTAGTATCGCAGTAGTTTTGTAATATAAAGTAATAGAAAGTTGTTGATTTTAATGTTTTGTCTAAAATAACACGTTTAATTTCAAAGGGTCAAAGCTGCCAAAGTTGAGGACGCTAGGTGTCGCTGAAATCGTGCACATAGCCAATAAGAAATCTTCTTCCGGACAATCCAAAACAATGTGTTTTAATCAGATCAGTGGTTAATACAAATAATTGCATGAAAATCAAGTAAGTACTTACGTTTATATATTAATTAACCCAGGCTTATAATGATCCGTATACCAAATTTTATAGAAATCTGTTTAATAGTTTTTGCTTGAAAAAGCAACAGACATACAAAGTTTCGCCCTAATAATATTAGTACAGTGAGTTTCAGTTTGTATTATAAATTGAGCAAGCTCTTAGTTACTCTATTATTTCTTTATTGAAATGTAATCAAAAGAGCATTCCTTCTCACAAATATCTTTTCTCGAAATAAAAACGAACATATCGCTTCGATCGCTATAAAATGATAGCAACCGATTGCTATTATTAGACGTAACTGACCTCATCACATCTCGACACCTGAGTCGTTGACAGTCCTGATGAATGGCCATTCTATTGTCGCTGGACATGACTGTTGTCAAACTCACTCCTATACAATCCTTACCTTACTACGAACCCATAGAGTTCAAAATAGCTTGACGGTCCCGCTTGCTTTGTGTTCCGTTCGTTAGGGTTCCACGCCCCTGGCAGGTCATTATATTCAGATTACGTACGGGGATATTAACGGCAAAGTGTATTGTTTCGGTTCCTCACTCGAAGTCGAGCTAATTTTGTTTACGGGGCATCTTAACTTTGAAATTTGTGGGTGGTGATTTGATGCTGTGTAAGTAAGAAGTAACATACATAACAGAACCATCAATATTTACGTTATTTAAGTTATTATTCTGAATCCATTGTCAACGATCTTTTAAAGTGCCCTGTAATATTAAATTGACTATATAATTAGTATATTTCAGCCTACGATTTCTTTTTTAAGATCTCCGCAATTTTAGTCTAGCTAGATTAAATTCTTTTTATTAAGTATCAGTTCATATATTAATTTTCTGGTATTTACTTAAAATAGCGGCAAAAAATACCAATTATATTTTATTATGGAACACGTAAGCCAGAAGACCTCGAGCTGTTACTCAAAGAAAGAGGAGTTTTTTGAAAAACATAAAACCATGACATTGTCATAACGCGAAGCTGATGTGTTTCCGGGATGTTCACTTTCTCTCTCTCTCTCTTTGACAGGCATGTTTTAGTTATTATTCTAAGGGCAGCAATATGTCTTTTCAACTATACAATCATTCTACAGTACAAAACTCATTCAAATAATTATATTAAAAATAAGAGTAATTCCAAATTCAAAATTTTGTCAATTGTGACATTACTGGCAATGATAATTTCATGGAAATTCAGTTGGCACGAAATGATGGCGTCAACTTTATATTGTTTGGAGGTATAATGGTGTGTCGCGCATGGTACCATGAACACTACTGCCGTAGCGGCCCTAGGAGTACTGGTAGTGTTGCTGCTCTTGGTGTTTAGATGGAAATGGAGATCGGGCAAAGTAGAGGTAACTATGTGCTATGTTAGCTGGTCAGGTGTTCCGAGTGGGATACCTACTTACCTACCTAGTTTTATAAAAGTATTATCATGATTCTGTGTACATCTACTGTACGAAAAAAAATGTCGCAGAATTTTCTACGAGGTTACCTCAATCTATAACCGGGAACATACATGATTTGTAGTACGTGTTATCGAAAATTTATATATTATTTATTTATATATTTAATTTTACTTAATAACGACAACCCAATGTTAAGTTATCGTAGTACTTCAATTAAACTTTCTCTGTCTCTCTCTCAAGATCTGTGATTGAATACGAATATATATTGAATATTATCAAAAAATACAAAAATCAAAACATTTTCTTTTAACTATTTCGTATATTTCATTAACTTACTTATACATACATTTATTTTCCTTCTTTCTAGCAGCTAGGCAGATATAATATAATTATTTTCCCACCACTTTAAACTTGATTATCAGAGTGAAATAAATTTAAATATCATAAAATTCTTTAATTTTCATAAATATGGGTGACATAGTTAGAATCCACTATTTATTATGTACTTATAAATGACAGCTTTCAATACTAGACTAACCAAGGTCGAGAGTCCGGCTTCAAAAGCTGTTTAATAGTTTAATAGTATAATACCACTAACAGCATTTATCATGTTTTTATTATTTGTCAGGTGGAAATGGAATGCCCTCCGTGTGCGCAGGTGACGCTGGTGCACCGCCTCTGTCCCCACCACAACGTGGTGCAGAGCTTCGAGGTGGAACAGAAGGACAGCCTCGACGAACACCTCGATGTACTGACCAGGAAACTCGCTGAGAGGGTTTGTCACTATAATATCATTTAAATAAGTTGTCCGCCCATGTAAGCTTTATTAAGTGGGTACAGTAAAATTATTCGTCAAAGGTCAAAACAAATATAAATGTACGAATTTAACTTGGTATAAAGCACTACATAGTATAAAACAAAATCACTTTTTCTGTCCCTATATCCATATGTATGCTTGAATTTTTAAAACTACGCAACATATTTTAATACGGTTTTTTTTCTTAGATAGGGTGTTTCAAAAGGAACGTTTTTATGTATAATACAAGGCCACACGGGCAAAGCCGCTGGCGGAAAACTAGTGATAATATAAGTATTTAATAATCAAGATATCGCCTTCGCTATAGAATTAAAATAGGGGGGGGGATAGGGATCCAAGAGTACTGCCAAGTTAACATTAGATCGAAACCTCTGAATCATCTCTTATATAGTAGATGGCGTTTGTTGTGGAACCAATGACCAGCTCGGCGGTTTTGGATGTCTACCAAAGAGTTAAGGAATATTTCTGCACGTAGACATCGGGTTCCCGAAACAATATACCAACGTATTTATGAAAATTATTCTCTGCCACTTTAAAATTATAGATTCAGTCAATAAGTACTTAATATTAGGGAAATAACCTAGAAATTTCCATAACATCCATCATTTAGACCAATAGAAAACAATACTTCGTTTAACATATGTAAAACTCGTAAGAATTTTGTATATATCTTTACACAGGAAGGCCGTCTGCGCCTCTCTAAGTCAAAAATCCGGGAAACTCAGCATGAGATTGAGAGTCTGCATGCAATTGATCACGACGTGCGCCAGAAATACCGAGAAATCATGGAGTCTTTGCGCAACGACCTACTTACTAACGAGAGAGAGTGCAAGAGACTGCAGGAACAGATCGAATGGGTGTCGAGGCGACGCGCTGAAATACGAGACGAGGTGAGGATGACAATTAACAATTACATAAATTCATTTAAACATCTGATATCTGGGTTACTTAGCCTACCAATCAATCTCTTTGGTCAGATTTTGCTGCAAGTTGAAGAAAATTGTGCAATAAACTAGGAATAACTTAAATTTCTTTATTAGGTTCGCCGAGGTCAAAAGCTATACGGGGAAGCGGCCGCTGAACTGGCCAGTAATTTGGCAGAACTGCAACGAGGCCGACTGACCGAGCATAGAGTCACCGATAAGCCACAGAGACAGCACTCACTGACCTCCCTCAGGCACCGTAAAGAACCCCAACTCCCTAGAGCCTCGCCCGTTCGATCCATAGTAATCAAATCACCGCCTGAATCGCCTGAAGCGAACGTATCGAATACTGATACGCCTGCATACCAATGATCTCTGTCAATCTATGCTAGCCTAGTACTTTTTTGTGATTGTTAAAATTTTTTGCACGTTTTGTTATTTATTTATTTTTTATTTATATACAAAAAATATATACATATAATTGGTTGTTATTTTTTATCACTTGCAAATCATAAAAATGAACATAAAATATCTATTTATTATACGTATAGCTCCTAAAAAAAGTATTTCGCAATCAACAATATCGCACACATGAGACAAAACCACCGAGCGCGTCCCCTTTATAAGTCTCGTTAATTCAGAGGGTTAAAATCCCCGAAAAAGTGAGCACTTGCCTTGTTTACAAGGTTTTAGATTTTAATTTAGATTGGGGTAGAGCCCGCTTCGCGCACGAAACGGCATAAGTCCCTTTATAGAGTTACAGAAAAATTGGGTCTTTTACAAGGCGTTTGAGTCGGCAGGATGCTTAACGAGGGGAGCTCTTGGAGTATCCATTAAAATCGCATTCGTATGTGATCACCTAATACAATATCATCAAGTCCGTGCGGGGGCGCTTTGTGAATAATTTCGCGGCAATCTGCTCGCGTTCGAGACGGATTTGTATAATTTTATAATTTCATAATTGGTCGGTTTAGTGAAAAGGGTTTAATTTTCGTGATGTGCTCGAGACGCAGATTTGAGGTAAAATGTTTTCTGAGAAATTTACTTTTATAAAAGGGATAAGATAACCAATAATACTCTTGAGTTCCTCAAGGTAAATAATAGAATAAGTTAGATTCTGATTTTTAATAAAGATGATTATGAATTTTATATTAAATATCACTGAAACATTTTTGTCCATTGACATTTTTTATAACAATATTAGGATATGCGTAATATGAAAATTAATAACATGAAGTGTGTCATTGCGATTTTATTTGGAGCAAACGAATATAATTAGAAATAATGAACACCACATCTGTACAGTGTACACACTAAAACAATAAATTAATTTGTCTGTTTGTTGATGGCAGTCTGTTACGCTTTTATGAATGAAACACGAGGGGTTATATACCTTACGCACCAGAATAAAAATAATAAACCATGAATTTATGAAGTACTACAACGAATATATAAGTATAGTTGATATTTATTTATTTATACGTTTATGCTTTTGTACCAATGGCGGACTAAATGCCTTTAGGCATTTTCTCCCATTGAACCGGAGAATCTGTGCAACCTTACATATTAAAGTTGCACATTTCTATGTGCATGTGAAGAATGGTAATACTTTTAACTGTACAAGTATATATTTAGTATTTGATAGAGGAATCTCCAATGTTTTAGTTAAAAGTTAGATTATGACATAGGTTTTTCTGATTTGTAATTACTGAATGTAATGAATGAAACTAATTAGTTATGTCACGCTAATTATATTATTTCATATATTACTTTAAATATTATTCTTACATAAGTCTGTTAAAAATAGGAGCAATGCGGAAGCGGAGGGATTAAGAAGGCAGAGGAGGATAAGACACGTTACATGATGGAGTTATTGGTATCATAATTGGGTGGTCAGAAGCCATAAAAGTTAGCGAGCATGTTTGGAAAGAGCTCGAATGTTAATAAAACGAAGGATATGTTACTAATGGCAAAAAAAATAATAGGACACATTAAAATATCATCATATTATTGATTAAAATATAAGTTTGATTTCTGGTATTATTATAAGCCTTCAGCATCAGCAATCATTGACAAGTGACATGAATCCCTTGACTAATTTAAAACAGTAGTGTACACAACTGTACTGTGTAAACACTTAATGTATTGTTCTCGGTTAGGTTGTGTTCACACTGTTGAACTGTGACAAATGTATAAAAGTTATGCTTAATTATTTATGTGTGTTTTAATTTTATAAATTAATGATTTCTAGTAAAATTTGCCTTAATAATAAGGAAATTATTATCGTTCCAAAGGTCCTTGGAAAACGTATTTGAGAAGGGTTGTTGGTTTGGAGAATTGACTAATGGTCATATTTAGAACGCTCGAGATAAAATTTTTAGATTATTAAGTGCAAAATTATTTTTACTTTAACTGTATTTTTATATCTTATACAAATCTCAAATGAATTTAGAATTCTAGTCAACGGGAGAACCCATAAAATCTACTGTAGTTAACGATGTAAACCTAGTGATCGTGAACCTAGCTGCCACGACTTGACTACAAAATCTCACAGCAAATTCGATTCCCGTTTAGGATTATAGCTTATAGGATATAGAGCATGGATTACAGCTGTTACTATTACTATCAGTTCAATCTACGTTAATGATCACGTAATACTCGTATTATAATATAAAAGAGAGCACATACGTACGCCAATGTAAACACACCCTTTGAAATTGTCAACGCGTTTGTTTTGCCTGGGGCTTGAGTGATTGTAGTAGTAGAGGGGGCAAATACTGTGCTTTATTTTTATACTCAAGTGATATTTTATAAACTTATAATAATTTATTTCGCAAGAAATTAAGTTTAGCTCTCACTAAGTAATATTAAAATATAGCACTTTTAAAGGGTAAAAATGATACCTTATTATTAAGATTCCAATGTCCGTCTGTCCGTCATCAACCAGTGTAGATTTGTCAGGGATATGTGGAATATGGGAAAATTTCACGGATTCCACAATAATAATAAATATTAACACTGCGTCTCTTAAAGATAATGGATACGGAACCGTTCACGCGCGAGTTCGACTCGCTCTTGGCTGGATTTTTCGCTAATTACGTGTAGCTTCCGCTCTGATACTAGCTACCTACATCTGTACTAGCTACCTACATTAATATAAATAATTGTTACACTGAAATTTATTTAAATAGTATTTTTTATTGTTTCAATCTAATATTGATATAACCCGATCAGTATAAATTTTCGATTGATATCCAGATGGATAAAATTTAAGTATTATACGTGTTTTTATTAACAATCTATATAAATTTAATTATAATCCATCATCATCGGGCCTTTTAAGTCCCCACTGTAGGAACTTAGGCTTACGGATGATTACTGAGAGTGGCCCATGGTCACAGTCGCTCGAAGTTTTTGGTCACCCATCCCATGACCGACCCTTGCGAAACTCGCTTAACAACGACGATAGCAAGCCATGGCGATTATCCATTACACCACCGAATTACGATATAAAGTATAAACACATTTTTCGCCATCCACAATTGCCAATGAAAGTCTCAAAAATTACGCAACCATTTAATATTAATCCTTTGTTACTCCTTCCGCGAATTTAACAATCCTAATTGTAAAACGCTTAACCACCGGAATAATCAGTTCTCCCACCGATTACACAGAGATAATAAAAAAACTTGTACATAATCAACATTAAACGGAGAGCAAGTTTCACTTAATATTTCATTGATATCTAAAGTCTATATACTGGTTAGTATATTAGTACAAAAATATACTAACCAGTATACAGGTATATATTACATGTGAATATCAAAATGTTTTTTTTTTTAATATTTTATTACTTTTCCACAAATTCAACACAAAGCTTAATTATTTAACAGACTATTTCCGTGGACATGATGAGAGTATTTGCGATTTTGTACATACAATTTTTAGTACGAATACTAGATGCCCGCGTGGATTAGGGCTAATGATTTGGTTTTGGCCACTGGTACTACAAAGCATCAATCGGGCAAATTTAAAAAATAAATATATTGTACAAGTAACGGCAGGTCACGTTATACAAAACTGTCAAATTTCTCCACTTTATTTTTAAATAGAGTTCAAAATTAATTGCGGAAATTCGAAATATTTTGGTAACCTGACGTACTGCTGTATTTATATGAAGGTACGAGTACAACAGTATGATGCAATATGGTACCAAATTCCATACTTAGATGGGCAATCTCCTTCCCTTGCTGCCAGGCGGTTGCAAACGACGAAACATTCTTTCTCATTGTCACTATTTGTCACCAACGGTACTTATAAAGTGGTGATTTAAAACGAATTGAGATTAAACAAAAAGGCACCAAATCTACCACAGACATCAACGAACAGGGAAGTGAGGGAAGTTTCGAAACAACTCTATGTGTCTCTGGGTAGCGTTTTAAAAAGGAGCAGGCGAATTGCGATGCCACGATGTAAATAAAATAAAAATGTAAATGAACGCGTCCCCGTGCCCCGCGCGCCCCACACCCCTCACCCCGCACACCTACCCTCCACAGTATTTCTGTGAGGATGACGCTTTTACACCGAAAAGCCAGAGGTTTCCAAACATTAACATTAGAATTAACTCAAATATGTGTAAGTACATAATTCTGTCCATAATGAAACTGCCCCCAACAGAACCCTACATCATGACCTACGTCATATTGTAGAGGATATAAAAATATCATATAATAGCTAATTAAAGAGTGTTCGGATACGATTTTTAAAAATAGTTATTTTTCACCTATAAGTGCGAATTACGATGTTATGAATTACGATGATTAATATGCTCTACATTTTTTTTTATAATGAGCCAACTCGTAGTAAGAGTTTTAGAAAAATGCATATAAAAATTATGTTAATCAATTTTGGAAAATATTTGGATGGACGAAAGTTACTAGTTTGAAAAAAAAATTAGTAATTGTCTATATCTTTTTTATTCACATACCTAGCTTCATTTAATTTGAAATATAGCAACATTGAAAAATAAAAAAAAGAATTATGTGGGCCATCCTATGAGCGCTATGTTGACGCTTTTAAAATCGATTAAATTTCAATCGTTTTTTTAATTTTTATCAAAAAGCAAACATGATATCACAACCACCTAACTCTCTAGCTTTGATTCCAGCCTTATAATACAATACAACATCTTAGCGATGTTTGGACGATATTTCATTTCATATTACTACTTTGAAATATCATATTTGGGATTTAGTAACACTGCTCAAATCCATAATCATCATTATTTATCGTTCATTTGTGGTTAATAAAGTACAATTCAAAGTTGTAAAATGAAACGAAAACTGGACTCACATGTTCATCAATTCTCACAA